CCAATTAACAAACGAGAGTGTGTGACGAGGACTAGTAAACTAGTATGATATAAAGCCAGGAATGAGGATTCTCTTCAGATTATTTTTTGTGAAGATTTCGAGAATTCTCAAATCACGTCCGTTCATTGTATATTGTACGGTCAGAAATTATTATAAATTTTTTTATTTAAAATTGAATATAAACATTACCCGACAAAAACTGATCGCACGATTTACGATAAACAAATGTGATCAAAAGATTTATGGAATCCTCACAAAAGAGGATCCGAAGAGGATTCTCATTCTAAAGTCAGAACTCAGCCTTTTAAAAATGTCCTAGTGGTAACATGACTTTGCACGGTCCTTGAATTGTCCAAGGAAACCTACAAATCAAAGACAGAGATGCGAAGAGTGTAATCTAAAGTGTTAGATTCAAACTGCATCTAGTTTCAATTCGGAAATGACAATCCCGTAATGATCATTACATATGCCTAGAGGTGGGAACGGTACTGAATTACGGTTCGATATGTGACTCAGAGGTGGCGTTGAGAGGGAGCGAAAGGTGCAATCGCACAGCCCTCCGAAATCTTTATTATCAAAAAATTTTGGTATCTTATATTTATATGTAATATTGTTGTATATTAAAAATATACTTTTATTAGTACTTTAAAATCTTATAGTGTACTTTTTGAAGTGCACAATGAGATAATAGGAGTACCGATAACAACACCTTAAAAATTTATTTTCTTTTCAATTTTATTATATAATAATGCTATATATTCAATTGAAACTTTAATGTTAGAGTTTTTGAAGCTTTTTTTTTTTATTATTTGGTTGTTTAAGATTAAACTGTTATTTATTATTTAGTGAATGTTATGTTTGTAACTTTTTTTACTTATTTAATGACATTTATAAACTTACAATCAGTAAGTCCTAAATGTTGTTTTGATTTGAGTTATTATTTTCTAAGGATTTGGATCCTCTCCTGAGCTAATGGAGAGGATCCTCCTCGTCAATCATCCTTGGCCGTTGGATTTTTATCCAACGGCTACAATTATTATAACTTTAAAGGAACCTCTCTGTTTGTAGCCGTTGGATAAAAATCCAACGGCCAAGGATGATTGACGAGGAGGATCCTCTCCATTAGCTCAGGAGAGGATCCAAGTCCATTTTCTAATACCAATATATTGTCCTAATTTAAAAAAAAAAAAAAAAAAAAAAAAAAAAAACACTATCTTAAAAATGGGCCCTTTTATAAATTTCTCACAGGGCACCCGAAATCTCAGAGACAGCCCTGATGTGACTAGAACCGAAACTGAGTTATCTACCGAGTTGATACAGAACCATTTGGTAATGATTTTGATCCATTTCGATCTGTAGATTGGTTTGGGCAAAAAATAACTCCGGACTGGTACCAACTCAATGCTTCATTTTCATTATTTCATGCAAGTATATTTGTTGTTGGAGTTGTGCTCTAAAAGACAATTTCGTAATATTGAATATTATGTAACAACTTCATTTTAATTAATTAAAAAATGGCAAGTTTTATTCATTCATGAGTTTTGGCTTTATATTATAGAGATTATATACTACGAATAAGTCCATAGAATTTAAGATATAGAAATAATGTCCTAAACGAGGTTAATGTCCACTTAGTCCTTAAACTAAATTCCTAACTATTTAAAAAATCGACTGAATATTGATTATCTAAAAAGTCTGGTATATACCATATTAATGTTAGCATCTCGTGCTACGCATGTTGAACACATGGTAGATATGCTCGATATCGTAGAGGGGTACTTGGAGACAATGATTGTCTTTTCCATGCTATTTTACACGATTGTCATCATGGGGAGGATGGAGAAGTGAAACCATCTGCAGAAGATTTTAGAAAACATGTATATTTTGATTTCCCAGATGGTTGAGGTCATTTTCACCCAAACGGGCAAAAAATCTAAAGCCTTGTAAAAAGGGGGCAAAACCGTTCTTTTGTTTATGTAAATCTTTTTTAATTAATTAAAAGCTTTAAAATTAAAAGCACTAAAAGTTTAAAATCTTCAAGTAAGATTGTGGGTCATGTTTTTCACGTAAGGTGCACATTTTTTTGTTTATGTTAACTTTTTTTTTAATTATTAAAAACATTAAAATTAAAGGCATTAAAAGCTTCAAGCAAGATTGTGAACTCTGTTTTCCACTCAAGGTTGTCCCTATATGTAAGGACATATACTATGTATCCAGTGAATTCCTATACGTTAAGGACTTACTTTCCGATCTATTAGAGATTGACTTTGTCTCTATATTTGTTTTACACCCATTTTATACGGTGAATGTCCCTATTTAAGGACTTCACATGAGATGCTCTTAAGCCTCCAAAACAAGGGCATTATCAAAATTTCTGTTAATCTCTTTTGAGCTAAAGTTTTTTGGTGCTAAATCTATATATAAAGCCATAGGCTCAATTTGGTGTCACCGGCTTCAACAAAAATAATTGGACCAAACTGCCCCTCAGCTAAAAAAATTCAAAACCAACCCAACATAATATGTCAAATCATGCAAGTGTAAGTTGGTAATTTGATCATCATAAAATATAATATAAATATAAATGGGGAGATAAAAGAATAAACAAATGACAAAGTTGATGGTGCCCACGTGATGGGCAAGAAAAATATAATTAAAAAAATAAGAAAAATCATAAATGTTGTGTTCAAAACATCTTAAGAGATGCGTAGCACCGGTGATAAAAAAAGAAAATAACGAAGTAAAAAAATATTGAAGCAATTCATGCATATAAATACATTTAAAATGTCTAAGTCGTGCGTAGCTCGTTGTGATTCAAAAAAATGTCTTTTGCACATGGTTGTTTATTAAATATTATTTCTCAATTTTTAAACACTTAAGAGATGCGTAGTGCAAGTTATAAAAAAGTTTCTCGAATGCGCATGATAATATGATTCAATTAGTTGTCAAATTATCTTCTTTCTTTTTTTTAACAAACAATGTTATCTACACTAAGGGAGGGAGTGAGCTTAGCCTTACAATGTGCTAGCAATTAGTTTATTAAATATTATTTTTTCTAATCTTAATGTAAATTCAATAAAATGTAGATGGAATTTGAAAGACCGCTTTTATTAATATAGATTCAAATGCTTTGATTAGTTAAAAGACCGCTTTTATTAAATGTATTTATTATTCATTTCCATCTACATTAATAAATACATTTAAAACATGTAAATCGTGCGTAGCACGCCCTAATTAAAAAAATGTCTTATGCATGCGCATGAGCGCATGCGCGTGAGCGCGTGCATGAATGCTAGTATAGCTAAAGTAAAAGCATATATAAAAGTCTTTTGGAGATGCTTTTTGTGACATCCCACATCGCCCAAGGAAGTGATCCTTAAATGTAAATTCTCATCCCTACCTAGCATGAGGCCTTTTGGGAGCTCACTGGCTTCGGGTTCTATGGGAACTCCGAAGTTAAGCGAGTAGCGCACGAGAGCACTCCCAAGATGGGTGACCCATCAGGAAGTTCTCGTGTGAGTTCCCAGAAACAAAAACGTGAGGGCGTGGTCGGGGCCCAAAGCGGACAATATCGTGCTACGGTGGTCGAGCGGGCCCGGGAAGTGGTCCCACCCGGGCCGGGATGTGACATTGGTATCAGAGCCTATCCCTGGCCGGAAATGTGCCGACGGGGACGTCGGGCCCCTAAGTGGGGTGGATTGTGACATCCCACATCGTCCAGGGAAGTGATCCTTAAATGTATATTCCCATCCCTACCTAGCATGAGGCCTTTTGGGAGCTCACTGGCTTCGGGTTCTATGGGAACTCCGAAGTTAAGCGAGTAGCGCACGAGAGCACTCCCAGGATGGGTGACCCATCGGGAAGTTCTCGTGTGAGTTCCCAGAAACAAAACCATGAGGGCGTGGTCGGGGCCCAAAGCGGACAATATCGTGCTACGGTGGTGGAGCGGGCCCGGGAAGTGGTCCCACCCGGGCCGGGATGTGACACTTTTAGGTGAGTAGCACTATATACCTACATGACTATGAATTTTTTTATCTTTTCATTTGTTATTAATGGATGAGGTGATAGCCTTGACAACAAACTTATTTTTCAAAAAATAATAAAAGCTATCGTCTTATCTCGAGACTATTGATTCTAAGTGAAATGTCTTAGGTTTAATTCTTATTAAAGAAGAATTTAAACCACATTATTACTTACTCATTGTGAAGCATGACTCACTCTTCCAATAGATAATATCATTCCCAAAAGAAAATAAATAAAAATAGAAGACTGTAAGTATGGAAATTTAGTTAAAAGAGAAAGTTGTGGAAGTTTCTTTTTTCAAAGTTGGGTGCAAATGAGAAAATGATGGGGGATAATTTAGAAAGAGTGGGACCCCAATTGTGGACTCAATGGCGTAGCCAGAAATTATTCGGTGGGTGGGCTAAGCTAAAATTATTACTACTAAATCAATTTTTTAATCTTATGTTGCCTACATAAAGTTATATAATAGTAAAAACTTGAATCTAGTACTTTGAAGCAAGAATTTTATGCTATGTTTTCTAGGTTTCTAACCTTCAAAGCTTTCAAGTGAATAAAATAAGAAACCATTTGTGGTATGGAAGTTTTAATTTATTACTATTAAATATAATATTGGTTAAAGTGGTGAGTTTATTTAACATCTATTAGCTCTTATTATTCTTAAAAACAACCTTGTTAATATAAAAAATTCATTTGTTAAGTGGAATATGACAATTAAAAATTATAAACTAACCCAAAAATTAATATTTTTAAATTTGAAGAACCAAACTCTCTCTATACTATAGCCAAGGGGAGCCTTGTACTTGGCTCCGCCCTTGTGTGGACTGTAACTAAAAATGAGCATTGGATGCCAAATTTGCCCCTTAAAAAAACAATTACATTTTGGAAATTATGCAAAATAGGAAGAAAAAAAAAATGAAAAGCAAAAATGACAAGTACCAAAAAAGAAAAGAAAACAAAAGATAAAGTGAAGATGCAAATTGCAAAGCATACGTAAACCGGAATAATAAGCGGGTCAAATAATCCGCTGATTTAATTAATTTCCTCCCTCTTTCTCACTGCTACAGTCAAAGCCTTCGCTCTCTCTCTCTCTCTCTCCTCTGAGCTTACTCAGATCCAGGTAAGGTATGTCTCTGCTTCAATCTCTCAAGCTTTTACTACATCTCTGTTTGAAGTAGTTAAGGTTTAGATACAAGCTTTTACTTTCTGTTTGGTCTCTGAGAAATGGGACAGAAAATCTAAGCAGAAAAACATTATTTACATTTTTCTGGGGGTTTAATGTTTGTGTTTTAGTTCAGTCTTCTAGGACGAAATCGAAATTTAGGATTCAAGGTTATAGTTTTCTTAGTCATTGTTCTGTTTTTAGCTACGGATATTTGTGTGTGTAAGTTGATTTTCCTTCACATTCAACGTTACTGTTTCTTTAAGATTAAAGTTTTGATTGTTCTTACAAAATAAAAGAAGGGTTTAATTGCTTTTCAAAAAATGAAGTTTCTTTTCTTTTGTATTTAATTTTTAATTTTGTTGTTTCTATTTTTTACGGGTTTTTTAATTTAAAATGTGTATATTTTTAAGGGTTAAGCTGCAGAAACAGCTCCTTGTGATCTCAGTTTAGTTGGTGAGGAAACTGAAGAAAGAAGGAAACACGTTGTAGTTTTAAGTTTGATTTCAAAGTTCGAACTTTGACGCGTAAGTTCATGTTTCCATTTCAGATTTCTCATAGAATAAATGAACATAATCGAGAAATATTTTTTTGCCAAGATTAACATTTGATGACAAAATGCCATTTTTGAAGAACAGTAGTTGAAATGTTCTGCTAAAGTAATTACCTTGTAGTTCTTCCAATATTCTGTAAACCCGGATGGCATTTCAGTTCCTATATTCTGCATGTGGTGAGGGACGGGTGGGGTTATGGGTTACAATTAGTATAGGTCCAGGGTTCGATTCCCTCTAATGAAGCCGGAAAATAATCCTTTTCAGCCTTAAATATAAACATCAACTGATTGGGGGTAGTGGTGGCTTGTCTTTCTAGTTATTACAAGGTGACTTTGTTTTCTGACAGTTCGGATATTAACAGACGGTGGTTATGGTGGTGGTTCTTGATGTAGGACTTGAATTGTCTCGTCAATGTGTATGTAGTAATTCAAGTTTGTTGCTGATCGTACGTTGTTGTAGAATGGCTTGAAGTTTTGTAATCTGGAAGAAGATAATGGAAGAAATACAATCACAATCGGATAATTATAGGTCTTCCTCGTCTTCAGCAAGTAGTCCAGCAAGTCGGGTACCCTCAAGTAACTTTTTCTACTTGCGCAAACCTGGCTCACTCAGACAACCCATCTCATTTGAAGATTCACCTGAATGGGAGGATACAGATATTGATGTTAGGGTGGAGGAAGGAGGTGACTCCATCAACATTGCAACCACTCCAGTCTCCGCATCTCTTTCGAAGCTTAATAGTGGGTCCTTGCCATCCCCACCATTACCAGAGGGTGCAAATGTAGTAAGAAAGATTGCAGGGGCTTCACTTGTGTGGAAAGATTTGACAGTTACAATTAAGGGGAAAAGAAAGTACTCTGAGAAGGTTATGAAGAGTTCAAATGGTTATGCTTTGCCTGGAACTATAACAGTAATTATGGGTCCTGCTAAGTCGGGGAAGTCGACGCTACTAAGGGCTCTTGCAGGTCCTTAAGCTTGCATGTTATTTCTAAATTTCTAATTGTGCATAGAATTGTGCCTTCTCTTATTTTTGCATACTTGAGTTCTAAGAATTGTTTGTTGACCTTGCTTAGGAAGATTGCCTCACTCAGCCAGAATGTATGGTGAGGTTTTTGTGAATGGCTCAAAGTCACCCATGCCGTATGGTTCATACGTAAGTTCCACCTAATCATCACCATTCTTTTCAGTCTTTTATGCAGTTTGCAGTTCATACATTCGCTTAATTGCTTTCCCACTTTTACCCAATTAGTCTTGGGCTCTACTGACAATTTTATTCTCTTACATTTTGTTTGTCATGAGTCTGTTGCGACTGTTCCTCTTATCATTTTTCCGTTATTTCTGTTACACTCGACTCACATTTGGTGATTTTCTTTAAAGAAAGTTACTCAAGTGACAATGTTAGCATCTGCTTTCAAATTAGTTTCCGTTTACATCTTCCTTTCTTCAAAACGATGAGTACGAGTTAAATCAAATTTGAAACATATAGGTTATCATTTTTAAACAACTATTATTTTTGTTAGAGATGTGATTTGTCTCATCATTAGGATAATCTGATAATCCGAACCATGAAAGAAGTGATTGATAAAAAAAATAGAGAAATGCCTAAACAGTCTCTGTTCCCATGCTGCCAAGCCTGCATTAGTGTGGGTCAAAAGCCAGACTTGTTGTCATTACTCCATTGGCCCTTGACTTTTTCAGGCTTCTCAATTTGCACCATTTGAACTTTCACACCCTTTCCTGTTTGGCATAATGGCATCTCCTAGGTGGAGCAGTTGATAGATTTTTCTCATTGCAAATTACATGGTTACAATGTTAGCTTTACTGGCAATTAATTACTTTTTCGTTTTGTGTCTTTAAAGGTCACGTTGTTTTTCTATGGCTCAACTCTGTGTCTGTGGACTCTGGCTTCATGTTTGTTAATCCAACTTGCAGGGTTTTGTTGAGAGGGAAATCACTCTAATTGGATCCCTCACTGTTCGGGAGTTTCTGTATTACTCCGCTCTGCTTCAGCTTCCTGGTTTCTTTTGTCAGAAAAAGAGCGTAGTAGAGGATGCCATCCATGCCATGTCACTGGGTGATTGTGCAAACAAATTGATAGGCGGTTACTGTAATATGAAGGGCCTTCCAAATGGCGATAGAAGGCGTGTTAGCATCGCACGAGAGCTTGTGATGAGGCCACATATTTTATTCATAGATGAGCCTCTTTACCATCTTGATAGGTAATTTTTATTCTGTTCGCCGTGCTCTCTACATTATTCCATGGTGCACAACCCTATCCGTGGCCTGTATCACTATTTTGTGTATAACCATAAGCAACCAAATTATTTTCCATGGAAGCATTTCCAACTAAAGCATGAGTTTGGATAATTGTCTTTGAAGTATCTCAGTTGCATTATATATTTCAAAGGAATCGCAACTGGTCTGAGATATTAAAGTTGGTGTGCTAAGGAATCTACTTGATGATTTCCAAGAATAATTTGGCTGACTCTAGAACTGATATAATATGAGGTTATTGCTGCATTGTTTCCTGAGGGATCAGGCAGCACCATTGAATTGTTTTGTTAGGTCTCCTATATCCGTATATAGCATGCTCATGACCAATAGTCTTCCATTTGAATATATTTGATTCCTTGAAGTACCATGACTGAAGTGGTTTTGTTTTTTCAGTGTGTCTGCACTTCTGATGATGGTAACGCTGAAGAAACTTGCAAGTACGGGTTGCACTGTTGTATTTACCATTTACCAAAGCAGCACAGAAGTATTCGGCCTTTTTGATCGGATATGTCTTCTTTCAAATGGAAATACCTTGTTTTTTGGGGAAACCTTGGCTTGTTTGCAGGTAAATGACATTTAAATGTCTGTTTTGTCATTAACTTTTTAATCCTGGACTCGCTGACCCTAAAATAAGTCTGATTTGTCGTTAACTCTTTAAACAAGGTACTATTTACTGATTAGTGTTCTGTGATTATTGTAAGAGAGAAGAAACTCAAGAAATCATTTATGTTTTAAAAATTAAAATTCTTAATTTCGTGTTTTTGTTTTTATTATTTTTTGTTCTTTATATTTTTGGAAGCTAATTGGAGAGTTGTAGATAAGTGCTAACATACACTTTATGTTGATCCAGCACTTCTCAAACGCTGGATTTCCTTGTCCGATTATGCAAAGTCCGTCAGATCACTTTTTACGGGCAATAAATACAGATTTCGACAAGATCATTGCAATGTGCAAAAATTGGCAGGTAAGTACAGGGTGCTGCAGTTTTCCTAATTCTGGTTGCATAAAGTGTAGAAGCCTTTAATTCGTATGTTATAATTATCCTATTGAGAAATTTCAAAATTGTTGGACTGTATGTTTTTATTTTGACTTAAAAGTGAAAGGATGCCTAACCATATTTTGTTATGAACTCACCATAATAATTGTAGTCCAATATGTCTTAGACTTTAGCAGGACATTCGTTTAGTTTAACATATGCTTTGCATGAACTGCAACGTGATGACAGGATGATAACGGAGATTTTTCATCAGTGAACATGGATACTGCTGTGGCAATACGCACCCTCGAAGCAACTTATAAATCATCAGCAGATGCTGCTGCAGTTGAAACTATGATACTGAGACTCACAGATAAGGTAAATATTTGATATGCAGCTGTGGTTTTCTGCATTATAATTGAAAGTTTCCTGTTTTCCATGTTGTGTTCCATAATTTGGGTGATGTGTACATATTAGCATATATATTTAGCTTCTGTAATCTTGGTTAACTTCTGATGTGCATATCCTTCTATAGGAAGGTCCAGTACTCAAAAGCAAGGGAAAGGCTGGAGCTGCTACACGGGTAGCAGTTTTAACTTGGAGATCATTATTAATAATGTCAAGGGATTGGAAATACTACTGGCTTCGTCTTATTCTTTATATGATTTTTACACTCTCCGTTGGTACAGTATTTTCTGGCTCGGGGCATTCGTTGTCTTCAGTTGCGGTGAGTTACTTAACATCACCTTTTGTCAATAACTAAGAAAATAAAATAAAAATCGATTGCATGCTTCGGTAATTGTTTTCAGTTCTACTTTATGAATACCACTTTCTTAATTGAACACTTCTTTTAAATTTTTCACTCTCGTATGCAGTCAAGACGAGTTGCAGCAGTGTTTATTTTTGTTTCTGTACTGTACTAGCAAACACTGCTGGAGCATATGCTATATTCTTAATAATGTTAAACCTTTTATATGCAGACGAAAGTTCCAGCAATATTTATATTTGTTTTGTTTACCTCACTACATGCATCCACAATATCTGTTTCCTTGTGTGGCATCTGAATCTCTTTTTCCTCCACCTTTTATATGCAGACAAAAGTTGCAGCAATATTTGTATTTGTTTCGTTTACCGCACTACTAAGCATTTCTGGAGTACCTGCAGTTATAAAAGAAATCAAGGTAATCTTGATTGATTCATTTCCTAGATATTGACTTAAAGTAGTGTGAAAGTTGGCCAAGTTATGATTAATATAGTGGCAAACATTTGTAGATTAATTATATGAATTATGCTAGTATTACGCTATTTTCTTGAAAGAACCCAAGATTGAAGGATCCGAAATTGATCTCAGTTTAAACTTAGGCAGTTTTATGGACATTCCATTAATTTGCAATGATGATAATGATATCATTATTTCCAGTTGAGTGGCTGGTTGATAGGACATTCTTATAATTACTGTAATTAATTATGTTCATTGCTTTGGGATTCTTCTCTTCTAATCAAACTGATTATGGATACTGCAGATATATGCCAGTGAAGAATTGAACCACCATTTGGGGACACTAGTCTTTTTATTTGGACAGCTTCTCTCTAGCATCCCGTTCCTGTTTCTCATCTCCATCCCATCAAGTGTCGTCTTTTATTTCCTTATAGGACTGCGAGATGAGTTCAGCTTGTTGATGTACTTCATGCTGAATTTCTTCATGTGCCTCTTAGTAAATGATGGGATAATGCTGGTGGTGGTTTCTTTATGGCAAGATGTTTTCTGGAGCACCCTCACTCTGATATGCATACAAGTAAGTTCCTCTATCTCAACGAAATAATGTACTTGAAGTTTCCCAAGTTCAGCATTGAGTCATCTGCGAATGAACAAGAACTTTTAACATTTTTCCGCTTGGTTAATCATGTTGCTTTTTCCTGATAAAAAATCATTAAATTTGGTATGGGCTTGGATAAACTAAACGATGAAACCAAATCATAAAGTACATGGCAGACTGGCAGTTGTGGTGTTTTATGGTATTGTGCAATAAAATGTCATGTATCATATCAATGAATGTCCATGATACAATTATGCTTTTCTGACAATGATTGACAGTGTTATAACGTTATAAACAGTTTCCCATCCTTCCCTAATCTTGCATTGAATGCATATGGAATTTCAGGTGGTAATGATGCTAGCTGCGGGCTATTTCAGAATTCGAAATGCTTTGCCTGGACCCGTGTGGACATATCCAGTATCCTATATAGCTTTCCATACGTACTCTATACAGGCAAGAGGATTTACTTGATCCTTTGTATTTTTCTTCCTTGTTGCATAACAATGTTGAAAATCAATTGTCGGGCAACCTGGTTTAGTTTCAAATTTCTCGAGTTTGGGAAGGATAAAAAAAAAGCGTTTCAGAGTGATATTTTGGAACTAGTGGGTTACTTTTAATAATTTTCTTTTCTAACTGAAGCGTCTAAAACTATTACCTTTCTGTTACAGGGGCTGTTGGAGAATGAGTACATAGGGACATCGTTCGCGGTTGGGCAGGTAAGGACCATATCTGGGTATCAAGCACTTAGTAGCACATATCACATCTCCCCAGACAACAATGCCAAGTGGGAAAATTTATTGGTCTTGTTTCTAATGGCTGTCGGGTATCGTATTCTTGTCCTTGTTTTACTGTACTTTCGCGTGGGGGGAAAAAAGTATATACGTAAGATTTTGAAGTGTAATCAGGATAGAAACAATGCAAGATGAATGAAGTTGCTACCTGCCATGAGTGTTGTATCTCAGCCATCGTATTTTTGTAACTTCAAGTAGTTCTTGGCATGTGCAATTTTGCTTTTGTAAACCTTTATCGTCTATGAATGAGAAAATGCATGTTTTAGAGAGCTTTTGCTGATTGTTTTTTTGTTCCCAACTCGTTATTTTGAATTCTTACAGAGCTGAGATCTGCATTTGTGCCTGATTTTCATTGCCATCGGAAAAGTTCGGTACCTACGAGTGAGGGGAGAGTAATCTCATTGTTTGCAGATGGGAGTAGTCAAGTTGTCTAGAGCAATGTAGTCTCTCCCATTTGCACTAAAATTCGAATCTCTCTTCGTGTAGTTTACATTAGGTTAAAATAATGCTTGAATCAAAGCAGGAGAGGCACGTGACATCACTCCACGCCATGGTGATTGTTGACAACACTTCATGTTACATCCTCTATTCATTCAACTTCGTACATCACAAAGTCCACTATAAACAATGACATGAATATAAAAGGTCAGCCTCAAGCCAACTAGGCTCCTTGCTTTGCTTTGCGAAGATCGGAAAAGAACATTTATAGTACACAGTCTTATCCTTGGTTTGCAAGGATCATGAGAACGTCTTTTGTACATATGAGTGTATACAACAAATATTTATTAAAGAAAATTATGTACCACTTGGAAGGAAAAATATTTCATCTTTTGGGGTTCTCACATCTGGGCCTTTAGATCCTTGATGAAATTGTCCATGTTTTTCTCTGATGATCCATTGGGTGTCAATGCATCCTCCAATGTGTTCTTAACCTTGACAACTGCTCTCCTATACTCATCCCCTGATTTTCCATCCATCAGACGGTTGATTTTCTCCGACACTTCCTCCTTGCTGACCACCCTCCGATTGCATAAATTGATCCCGACCTTCCAATCGTCAACTATTAATTTTCTGTTAGTGAACTGATCAGTAAGCAAAGGGAAACACAACAATGGGACACCACACCAAATACTCTCCAATGTTGAGTTCCATCCACAATGTGTCAAAAACCCTCCGATGGCCGGGTGGGCCAAGACCGCCTTTTGCGAGCACCACGGTATGACAATGCTCCGATCCTTGACGTCATCTCGAAAGCCCGAGGGTAACGGGTCGGTGTCGTTTGAGCTGACGATATCCGGCCGAAGCACCCAAACAAAGTTCACTTTGCTAAGCTTAAGCCCGTTAGCAATCTCTATAAGGTCTTTCTTTGCAACATGAGCATAGCTACCAAATGAGACATACAAAACCGAGCCATGGGGCTTGGTGTTGAGCCACTGGGTGCAGTCTGACTCGGACCACAGGCTCGTAGCCACAATGTTCTTGCTGAATGTGGTTGGAAAAATGGGTCCAATGGCATAGAACTTCATCTTGGCTTGCAAGGCTGATATGGTCTCGGATTCAATCTCCTGCACTGTGTTGCACAAATGAAAATGTGCACCTCTGGCGTCCTTGAAGGCATTGAAAATGATTTGGTGGCACACAGACGTTGTATCAGTGTCCTGAAGATATGACATCATGTCTTTGGGATCAATTGCTCGCACTCCTGGTATGTAATCTATGGTGTCCTCTCGCACATCTACATAAAACACGATACCTTCGTTTAGACCCCAGTGAAGAACAACTATATATATTGTCCCAACTGTGAATCAAGCCGTTGATTAAGTAACTTTATTTTCAAATGCATGATTTAAACTGGGAGTGTAACTGTATAACATGTTATTTAAATTATAAAAGAACAAATGTGAACGATGAACTATTGCCAAACATGTTAGGTTAGGAAACTACAATGTATGTCACTCTTACGCCAAACAAAATTTCACATGACGAATGATATAGAGAGTAGAGGCCAGACGAGTTTACCATGCCAACCATGATAAAATTTATTTAATTAAAAGAATAAATTAACAGTGTAACAACATAACATATACTTCGTTACCCTATTAATAGCAGTAACTTACCTTGACATGCAAAATGGCCATGCCTTCGAAGAAGATCGAGATGATAATACAGTGAAAAAACCAAAGCAGGTTCTGTCCAAAATGAAACGTAAATAATCCCAAACTTCCTGGCAATCTTCGAGGGCCACACGAAAAACGTGTCAGCAATTATACAAGTGACCGGTGTGGTGTCAGCCGAAGACTTCACAACCTTTCCCACCACCTCCTCTACGTGGGCCGAAAACACATGCAACAAAGAAGCCATGAACTGGTCATGATTAAGCGACCGGTCAAACTCAACGGGTAGGCCATCAGAGACGGTGGTGTAGTCTATGTTGAGGCCAGATTCATGTAAATAGGCGAAAGGGTTCCCGGCGGATTTTGGTTGCGCTTTGGAGGTATGGTGTTGGATGAAGTGGGTGTTGATGAAGGTGATCTTGAAGCCATGTGATGCAAGCTTGATAGCTAGATGGACGGATGGGATTACGTGGCCTTGGAGAGGGTAGGCGATGAAGATAGCGTGAGGACGTTTTTGACGATTGGTATTAGTATGACCCTGGTCTTCCATTAATGCTAAGAACTATGAAATGAGAAAAGGGGGAGGGAGGGAGGGAGGGAGGGAGGGAGATACTGGCTAGGTTTTTGGATGTTCAGTTTATAAATCCCAATTTGTACGGTACCTAACTTGACAATAATATGACTGAATTTGCCTTTCTTTGCGGACAGTCATTTTTTGTAGCAAATTGGTTGATCAAGAGCAAACCAAACCAAACCAAAAATATTAGTTTGCAGAAATATGCATACATAACATATAGGGCAACGAACAGGTTGTTGTGTGGTCAATGTTTTTCCATGAATCAATTGATAGGTATCGGATGAAAGGTAAATAATAAATCATGGTGAGATAAAACGCTTATTATTTGCCACACATGTTACCTTGTCATTTGGAGATAACAAATGAAATTTGATCATGTAATCGTATTTTGTAAGTTGTTGAGCACTTAGTCTCACACTTACGAAAAGAATTCAGAAAACCTAAATTGAAGAACTCAATGTTCACACATTACTCATTGAAGAACTCTACAACGAATAACATATTTTTTTTCATTTGACGATATTATAATACAATATAAATTGGGTGCAGATCGAGACACATGGCCCTATCAATGTGCATGGCGTACCCTGTATTTGGTTTTTTGGTGACTTAGTGGGGTTTAGAGTTTAGGTTTTAGTTTGTATAAATTTTGGTGAATGTATGTTACGTAGTGTGTCGATTAATTCAATATGATGAGATGCTATGAAAATATTCAATGGTAAAGAATGCAAATGGCAAGTACATACAAGAATTGTTTTCTAAAAGTGGAAAATGCCAATAATGTGGATAACTTAGGCAGCCACTTAACAATATGCATGCCAAAGCGGCAAGCGGCTATTTATGTCCTTATCAAAAACGGAACAGTCGCAAATCAATCAAGATAAGCATTCATGGCTTGATATTGTGCATGAGAAAAGAAATTCAAAATTCCTCTCTACAATTCGACTAAGCTTAGAATTGATTGATTTGCTCAAAAATTATAAACTTGTTAATTAAGTTATATGGATTTACTAAACGTGCACTATTTATCTTTTTAACCGATGCCATTAGCTTTTTTGTCATAAAATACCATGCTCATGAGTACCTTCTTCCAAAAATAAAAATCCACTCCACTATTTGGATACGGTTACACGTAGGGGTCATTTTTCAGTTTGATCAGATCGGAAATAAGCATTCTAATGCTAATTTAAAAAAGTTTTGGAATCAAATTTCGGAATTTTGAATTATTGGAATTTTGAAATTGATTTTTCTGGGAATTTTCGGAACATAATTCACGCCTTCTACATTTTACAGATTTTTAGAATCTTGTAAAATTTTTTCAAATTTTTATGTATCCATCATTCAATAATTTTGTTTTGAATTTTGGTGATATTTGTAGCTATTAAGTGTGTGTATGACATAAATCATATACAAGATATAATATTTATGATTATACTCTATATTTTAATATATAATAGTATGATTGAACATACAATAGGCGAAATAAAGCATATCTAAATATAATGTTCAAGAAAAAAAAAAGCATATCTAAGTATAACAATATTGAATTATGCATAGGTTTTTTTTAAGTACTGAGTTTGAGAATTTCGAATCGAAATTTCGGATTTGATAAGTTCATTCCAATTGCCATTCAAAATTTCGAAATCGGAAATGTTCGGGCTTAGAACAGAAATTTTCGAGATCGAATAGGTACATTCCAGTCCAACTTGCACAAGAGTTCAACTTCGTCCCTCAATAACATAACATATAATAACTCATTAGAAACCAATAAGTGCTTTCAACATAATCATTCTGACAAATACATATGTGCATTTCTTCGAGATTTGACAAATACATATCGTGCATTTCTTTGAGATTCTTGTCCAAATCCACTCATTTGGTATGCATGATTGTATTGGAATAGATAAATTAAGGATATATTGGAGAAGAAATTATAAAATTATGATCACCTAGAGGTTGATTAACTCATAAAGAATACTTATCCATTCGAATACTCTTTAAAATGGTAGGATTAGAAGGGCTGAATTTCTTTCATAACTAATTCTCTCCAAATGAAAAACCATCCACTTTTGCCTTTAATATAACTTTAAATTTGAAAATTCTCCATATCAATTCAATCATGTGTGCCAAACGAGCTCTAAGGCTTTTGGAGTAATCTTTATAAGTATACTCACCCAGTACACACACCACCCCCTAACTCCTTATAAAAAAAATAGAGGGTGAAGAGAGGGGGGATCAAGTTGTCTGTACATGTCCGAGTTTATTCTATGACAGTATTCATCATGTCTTTTATGATTTGATTGTTGTTATGCATTAAATTTCTTTTGCTAGGACTAAGATATAGCCTAGCCATGAATACTCCAAATTTATAGATCTATTAATTTCTTAATGTTATTTCATGTGAGTTTTTGTTATTGTTCTTAATGCTTTGAATGTCTAGCCAACATTTAATTGATTTGATGACGAAATTGAGACAGAAAAAAGATATTTGGTGTATGCTGCTTGTAACCAATGACATGTTTTAAATGAGTGATGGAATGGACTAACATGATTCATGTCGTTTCTCTTGCAGATTTTCCATATATCTTAGTGGATTCTTGGTTTTCTAATCTCGTTGCACATTAGAGAATGAGTTGTTAATTAATAATATTTTGGCTTTTTAGCCAAAATAGCTCATAAGATTAGCATAATTTCTCACTTTGGTATATGAGATTTAAAATTGATAAAAACTGGTCTCTGAGATTGACTATAATATGACTGAATTTGCCTTTCTTTGCGGACCATCATTTTTTGTAGCAAATTGGTTGATCAAGAGCAAACCAAACCAAAAAATTAGTTTGCAGAAATATGCATACACAACATATAGGGCGGCGAACAGGTTCTTGTGTGGTCAATGTTTTTTCATGAATCAATTGATAAGTATCGGATAAAAGGTAAATAACAAGTCATGCTGGGATGAAATGCTTAATTATTTGCCACACACGTTACCTTGTCATTTGGATATAACAAATGAAACTTGAGCATGTACACATGCTTTGTAAGTAGCGGAGCACTTAGACACTTACAACAAGGCTTCGAAAAACCTAAATTGAAGAACTCGATGCTTGCTCATTGAAGAACTCTGCAATGAATATTTTTTTTCTTTTCATTTGGTGATATTCTAATGCAATCTAAATAAAGAGAATCGACAAGTGAAATTGGGTGCAGATGGAGGCACACGGCCCTATCGATGTGCACCGCGTACCATGTATTTGGTTTTGGTGATTGAGCAGGGTTTAGAGTTTAGGTTTTAGTTTTTATAAATTAAGGTTAATGGTGATTGTATAAGTCATTGACCATACACTATACTTTTTTTGGTTAGTTTTGGGTGCATACATAATATCATATGATGTCACGTAGTGAGATGATATGACGATATTCAATGGTAAAGAATACAAGTGGCAAGTAGATACAAGAAGTGTTTTCTAAAGAGTGTGTCTATAAAAAATGGATGAATTGCAATCAATCAAGATAAGCATTCATGGCTTGATATTGTGCATGAGAAGAGAAATTCAGAACTCCTGTATGAAATTTGACAGATTACACTATCCATCAGGAAGGTACAACCACCACGCAACGAACTTCATTTAAAACCTGTTCCTAAGTAGGGGTAACCCTAACGTGGTCACAAAGTTGTCTCCAACTCAGTCGCTCACCGGTGTCCATGATGTAGACCGTACTGAAATCAAGCCATTCCAAATCGACCACATATTCTGTAAGAACTGCAGACCAAAATATGCGTGACCTGAACCGTTCCGGGATGGTTGTGTCCTCCTGGTGGATATGGTAGCAAACTGGCCCATCAGCATCCTCCTCAGTAACCTCATCCTCTTCCTCACCAACCTCAACAATTCTCTCTTACCCCTATTTTTACAGCAATCATCTCGTGGACGCGTGAGTATACCATAATAGTAGTCAAACCAACTCGGATCGCTGACCAGCCGAGCAGAGAGAGGTCAACAATCCCATCTATTTCTCTTAAAGATCTGGTAACACTATCCCAGTAGGTGTACCTAATACGGTCTAATGGCCTCCATCCCGCCAACCGCACTGCTACTACTCAAAGAAAGGCCCATAAATCGACATAGTCGTTTGGCTACAATGTTGAAATGAAGATATTTTCACCAAGCTGATTTTAGTAAGAAGACCTATGGATCTATACCAAAATCAGCTTGGTGAAAATATCTTCATTTCGATATTGTACCCAGACGACTAAGCTAATTTATGGGCCTTTCTTCATGTAGTAGCAGTGCAGTTAGCGGGATGGAGACCATTAGACCGTATTAGGTACACCTACTGGGATAGTGTTACTAGAGCTTTGAGAGAAATAGATGGGACTGCAGACCTCTCTCTGCTCGGCTAGTCAGCGATCTGAGTTGGTTTGACTACAATTGTGGTATACTCACGTGTCCACGAGATGATTGCCGTAAAAATAGGGGTAAGAGAGAGTTGTTGAGGTTGGTGAGGATGATGATGAGGTTGCTGAGGAGGATGTTGATGGGCCAGTTTGCTACCATATCCACCGGGAGGACACAACCACCTTGGAACGGTTCAGGTCATGCATATTTTGGTCTGCAGTTCTTACAGAATATATGGCCGATTTGGAATGGCTTGATTTCAGTACGGTCTACATCATGGGCACCGGTGAGCGACTGAGTTGGAGACAACTTTGTGACCACGTTAGGGTCACCCCTACTTGGGAACAGGTTTTAAATAAAGTTCGCTGCGTGGTGGTTGTACCTTCCTGATGGATAGTGTAATATGTCGAATTTCACACCAGAGTTCTAAATTTCTCTTCTTATGCACAATATCAAGACATGAATGCTTATCTTGATTTATTGCAACTCATCCATTTTTTATAGACACAAACAGCCGCTTGGCTCTTTAGAAAAGACTTCTTGTATCTACTTGCCATTTGTATTCTTTACCATTGAATATTGTCATACCATCTCACTAGTGACATCATATGATATTATGCATGCACCCAAATCAACCCAAAACTAACCAAAAAAAAAATATAGTGTATAGTCAATGACTTATACAATCACCATTAACCTTAATTTATAAAAACTAAAACCTAAACTCTAAACCCTGCTCAATCACCAAAACCAAAACCAAATACATGGTACACCTTCTAGGATAGTGTTACCAGAGCTTCGAGAGAAATAGATGGGATTGCCGACATCTCTCTGCTCGGCTGATCAGCGATCTGAGTTGGTTTGACTACTATTATGTATCCTCACACGTCCACAAGATGATTCCCGTACAAATAAGGGTAAGAGTAAGAGTTGCTGAGGAGGAGGCTGAGGTTGCTGAGTTGGTAAGAGGGAAAGTCTGTTGAGGATTTATTCCCTAATGGTACTTGCAGTTAATTGCTGATTCCCATGTGCTTTAATTTTCTTGATTTGTACTTCTACAGTGGAACTGATGGGTCAGTTCATTTTACATATATGGTTTTGATTTATGTTCAGGTTATAGGAGTCATGCCAAGAGCGTGAGATAAATTCTTGGTTTTGATTTATGTTCAGGTTATTGAAAACACAACGACGACGCTCAAAAGTCCGAAGCATATGAATAGATCAACTCAGAAATATTTTTGAACATTGTAAAAAGTGAAAAGTTCACGAGATTCCAGAGTCGCAGAGATGTTTTGAGGGCACCAAATCATTTTTGGGTCCAAAACCACATTTCGAGCCAAGTTTTCAAAAACAAGGACAGAAAACTAAAAGGAAAATGTAAAACAAATTTTAAAAACAAAATTAAAAAAACAGAATCGAATGCAAACGAACAAATAATGCAAGAAAACAAGAATGAAAACTAGCAAAACTAACAACAGAGGAAGAATAAGGGCTTACATCGTAGTGGTGTAGATCTCTCGATGCAACCTCGACTATGAAGTGGTTAGCCCTGACTTAAACCTTCTCACTGAGCAACCATAGCCAGGTCTCGCCGGATATCGGATGGCCATCAACGACGACGGTGGTGGAGCGGTCAACGTCAGTTTCAGCAACACCTCACAGATGAGAGTAGCCTCATCAGCGATAGTGCCGAGATGGAGGACGCCTGAGCCAGCGCCGGCCTGCGAGAAGTCGGTAGTGGGCACGTCTCCTTCGTTCTTCATCTTCTCTCTCATTTTCTTGCTCTGGACTCTTTTGAAACCTCTTCAAGATTAGACATGGTTGAGCGAACTTTTTTTTCTTTCTAAAAATCTATGAAATGAGATGAGTAGGAACAATGAAAGAGGCTTGGTGTGAGTAGATGTGGTGGTTGAAGTGAGGTTTGGTGTGAGTAAATGGGGTGGTTTGAAGGGTTTTTATGGAGAAATATCAGGAAGTCGGGAGATTGGATAAGGACACTTGACACTACATGAATGGTCGAAAATCTTATAAAAATTTTGAACGTATATCTCTATTAATTAATGAAACCCTCCTTGTCAACCAAAAGATGGTGAAAAGACAACTTAGTATTTTGTCACACAAAAAAAATTATGGGCAATAATGTAATGTCACAGGTTCAAATTTTATTGTTTTTTATTGAAGCCTGTGATGTTAAAAAATTTCTAATATTTTAAAAAAAATTAAAAAAAAAAACCCGAAAACAAAGGGTGCATTTTTGCTCACTACCATTTAGTGTAGTGTATGCTCACCACCTTATTTATCACCATTAGATGAGTTTGAATTTTGAGATTTGTACCTATCTACTACACGAATCTCGAAATTCAAACTCATCTAACGGTGATAAATAGGGTGGTGAGCATATACCACATTAAATAGTGGTGAGCAAAAATGCTTCCAGAAAGAAAAACCTCCCACTCCCATACGTTCTCTCTCTCTCCCTCTCCCTCTCTCCTTCTCATTTTCTAAAAGAATATGTTTATACACACAAAATATGTAGGTAAATGCTAGTTATTAATAGATAATATCACGTAGCATAACAAGAATGGTTGGAAATCTCATTCAAAATCTTAACCAATAATGACATGCGAAGAATACGAGTAATACCTGGTTATGATCACATATATAAAGCATACTGTCATTCCTCTAGTAAAGTAAATACGTAACTTTTTCATAAATAACCATTTTAGCTTTTATCGTTAAAGTCCATCTATCCCCTCGTCAAGTAGGAGGACATGTTAGTCTTTTCTGTGTCCATTGTACCACTCATTAATTGAAAACGTAGGAATGAAAAATTTGCCTATCGACTGTATTTTCATCAGCAATAGCATTAATGATTAAAAATGACTTCATTTTTCCTTAATGCACTGATCCTGGTCTAAGACATGTTCATGCGTGTAAGACCACATGACATCTCTGTGATCAAATTTGAGTTGAAATTTAGGGCTACATTGGGCAGTATAAATATCTCAATCGCCAAGTTCCATTTTGTGTCATTGGCACTATTCACTTCATTACTGTGTATTTATCCTTCTCACTCGTATACTTTTTTTAGTAATTAAAAAATATATAAAAAATTATATTACTTTTGAATGTTTGAGCCAAACTCACGAGGATAATTCTCATTTTGGACCCATATTAAATTATGCAAAATTCATCTTGAACTCATATTCATCTTGGATCAAGATTTAATTTGTTTTAGAGAATCTCTCGATGTAATTGGTGATTTGAAACTAAAAATAGTAATTAATTGTTACTTCAAATTCGATATGAGATATCTCGGCATTTCCAATTACATCCGATCTATCAGAAGACAATGGCAATTTGAGTATCTACTCTATTTTCATCAGCTCTAGCATTAAAGATTAAACATGACTCTATTTTTCCTTAATGCACCGACCACGGTCTAAGGTATGATCATGCGTGTAAGACTCCATGGCATCCTTTTTTCTGTGGTCAAATGAGAGTTGAAATTGGAAGGCTTCTTTGTGCAGTAAATATCTCAATCACCAAGTTCCATTCTTGTCATCGACATTATTCACTTTATTACCGCATGTTTATCATTTTTGCGTTATTATTTTTTTATTAATTAAAATATGAAGACAAACCTTTATATATGTTGGAGCCAAACTCACGAGGATAATTCTTATCTTGGACCCATATTAAATTATGCAAAATTCATCTTGAACTCACATTCATCTTGAATCGAGATTGAATTTGGTTTAAAGAATCTCTCGATGTAATTGGTGATTTGATATTTTAATTAATTGTTACTTTGAATTCGATATAAGATAAAAGGTATTTCCAATTTCATTTAATCTATCGAGAGATCATTGCCAATTTAATTCTTTACCATTGTTCTAAAAATCTCCTTCTACTGCTGCCTAGACGGCTAGCTACTGTTCCGATTAGTCCCTAGATGTTTGAAAATATAGAAAGTGTGCCTAGACCCACTTAAGCATCCGCCTAAACCCGCCTAGGTCGTAACTTTGACTTAGAAAATTGATAACTTTCATTATGCATTTTAAGTTTTCAATAAAATGTAAGAAACTTGTTAAATACTTGGATGAACATTCATTTTATGCTTGTTACCCATGTTTTCAATATGTTATAATACTTCATAATTTATGCCATTTATTTTGCAATTTATGTATTCTAATATAATTATGTGTGTATTTTAAGCGTCACTTAGTACTACGGTTTAGTGGTATTCTTTACTGATAAGTGAGACGTCTTAGGTTCAATTTGTACAACATATAATTAATTTACTTAAATTCGCTTAATTTGCTTAAGCCCCATCTAGGCCCTGCCTAACCGCTGCACCCAACTCCCCACTCGACTAGCGTCTAGAATCCTTTAGAACCTTATAATTTCATCAGCTCTAATGACTTACATCGGCCCGCAGTTGTATCAGGCCTCTTGTCCCAATCTTCCGGTCAGTTATGAATTTTAACAGTTTTGGCCACAATATTTTGTTTGTGTGCAAATGATTATTTTTCACAATCATGCATAAGCATAAAATACAAACAAATCTTTAATTGTTAATAGCCATTACAATTTATAATATGTGAACACGGTTTTTATCGTTTTTAGCCAATCACGGAACTAAACCGATATCATATAGTTCCAACGAGGTTTTTATCATATTTAGCCAAAATTTACCCTTAATTTCAAAAATATAACGTTTTTTATAAAATATTTTAAATATATAAAAAATCACACTTGAATAGACCCAACTACGCTTAATAGAAT